CATCCTCTTTCATTGCTTCGGCGGGGTCAACCGCAGCTCAGCGGCATTGTGCGCGTGGTTGATCTTTCGTCGTCAGCTCTCCGCGGAAGCGGCTGTGCAGAGCTTGTTGACGGCCCGTCCCACGCTTCACCCCTGGAAGCATCGGCCGCATGTCTTCTGGGCATTGCGTACTTGGGAGAAGAACCTAAATTCCTTTGTCAGACCTCGCATTTTTGCTGCAGTTCAAGAACTGTGAGCTAGCATGCCGGCGAGTCGACGTGACGAGCCGGACAGACTGTGACGATACACTGCTGCGAAAAGAGTCGAAAACAACGCTGCCTTGCGTTGCATGACGACTGACGGAGTTCGTTTCTCAAAAGAATTGACGCTGACCAAGTTCGTTTCTGACATCGACACTTCTCAGGTCTTGCGCTAACCTCCGCCTTCAGTGTTGCAAACATATACTCACTGTTCGTGCGAGTTGACCGGAGCTCAGGTCCTGCCTGGAGCTCACTCTACATCTCTGCGCGAGAGAAAAAAACGTGTCTCACCTCTTCTTGCTTTACATCCTGCTAACACTGCCCGCCACACACACACACCTCCTCCCTCCCCTCCTTCTCATCCTCGTCCATCACATCATCACTTATACTACACGTCTTAGCACAACCGCCTCATATACCTTCTCTCCTCACACTTCCTTCTTGACTTTTCATCTCACTACTCCGTCTCCCATGTGATGTTCATATACAGGTGAAATTTGTAAAACTTATCATGTGGGGTTATCCGGTCCTTTTATTTTCTTCAGTCTTCCTTGTCGTTCTCTTCTTCTTTATATGCACGAACCCTTCTGTGGGCCTTACCTCACACGGTTGGCAATGGCCCACCACAGTCTCTCAGTTTAAAATTATCCCGGCAAGAGACCCCAAACAGTGTGTGTGAGGTCTATAAGTCTATAAGCAGAAAGTCTAGAGATCAGTCCAGAGAGGTGATGGTGGTGATGAAGGTGGGGATCGTGGTGACGGTGGCGATGGTGGTGAGCGAGTGAGTGTGAGTGCAGGTGAGAGTGAGAGAGTGAGTGAGTGCAGAGTGAAAATGAGAGTGAAAGTGCAAGTGCGAGTGCGAGTGAGAGTGAGAGTGGGTGAGTGAGAGTGGGAGTGAGAGTGAGAGCGAGAGTGAGAGTGAGAGTGGGTGAGAGTGAGAGTGAGGGTGAGAGTGAGCGTGAGCGTGAGGGTGAGTGTGAGTGCGAGTAAGTGTGTGAGTGAGAGTGAGTGAGTGTGAGTGAGGGAGAGTGAGTGTGTATGAGAGTGTGTGTGTGTGTGTGAGTGAGTGAGTGTGAGGGAGTGTGAGTGTGAGTGAGTGGGAGAGTGAGAGTGTGAGCGTGAGTGAGAGTGGGAGAGGAAGTGAGTGCGAGTGTGAGTGAGAGTGAGTGTGAGTGAGAGTGAGTGTGGGTGAGAGTGAGAGTGGGTGAGAATGACAGTGAGAGTGAGTGTGAGCGTGAGTGAGAGTGGGAGAGCGTGGAGAGGGAGTGAGTGTGAGAGTGAGGGTGAGAGTGGGAGTGAGAGTGAAAGTGAAAGTGAGGAGTGGGAGTGAGAGTGAGAGTGGGAGTGACTGTGAGAGTGAGAGTGAGTGAGTGAGTGAGAGAGAGAGAGAGTGAGTGTGAGTGTGAGTGTGAGTGTGAGCGCGCGTGAGCGCACCTGCCACGAAATCTGCACTTCGAGGTTCACCAAGTGCTGCACCTGCCACGAAATCTGCACTTCGAGGTTCACCAAGTGCTGCGCCTGCCACGAAATCTGCGCATCAAGGGTCGCAGAGTGCTGTGCCTGCCAGCCACGAAATCTGCACATTGAGGGTCACAGAGTGCTGTGCCTGCCACGAAATCTGCCAAGGACCCACATATCCAAAAGTCACGATTCACTGCGCCTGTCACGAAATCTGAGCTCCTTGACGATCACCGCCATGTCCAAAGTGCTGCACCTGCCACGAAAACTGCATTTTGAAGGAAAACAGCTCCGATCCCTATCACCTGTCACGAAAAGTCGACCTTGGAGCACTTCCCTTGCGCCTGCCACGAAAAGTGATCCCCATGTGCGAAAATGCGCACGGCACCACAACGAGAGCGCAGTCGCTAGAAGCACCCGCCGCGGCCACCCAGATGCTGCCTGCGCAGTCGAAGTGCACATGGACGATGTCAAGAGGCATGAATGTAGTGTAAATAGCAGCGAATCAGCCGCGCACGCCCGCGCGGAACAGCGATCTAAGCACACCTGCTTTTCTCCTACCGTAAGAACCCCGGAAAAATGCTGATGTTGCATCAGTTGCTGGATCTTGATAAAAACCTCGTAACATAGTACAGGGCTGAAGGGTTTTAGAGGCCCATGCACCCAACAACATAATTCGCTCAACGTTCTGCAAGTTGCCATATTTGAAGATGATCGTTGCATTTTGTTTTGTGTGCGTTTTCAATATCTCAGTTTTCAATGCAAAACAGCATTGCCACAGCCTCCAGACGTACATTCATATTGCCTATAGAATAAGTATATAATAAATAGGTTTTTATTGGTTCCCTTGTCCAATGCATGAGTCTCCAAGGCTCAACGTCTACAGCGAGTGATTGGCAAGGCCCTTTACACTTTACACCTGCAATCCAATCTCATAGCGACAGCCTTCAACCTAAGAGTTTCTAACCTAGAAGCAATGGCCTCCAACCTACTAGCGATGGCCTCCAGTCTAATAGCGATGGCCTCCATTCGATTGTTTAAAGCAGTTGGTTGATCCATGCTGCTTGGCACACCAATCGTGTCATGATTTGTCTCGCGGGTACATTTTTCGCAGCCTTGGCTTAAGTGAAATTGCTGTATAATTGCTACTGCGAATGCCGTTTTTGTCAGCAGGGCAGAGGACTGTGGCCCACACATGTTGGCAACATGTTGGGATCATGTTGGGCAACTAATCTTGAGATTTTAGTCAGTGAATAAATCAAATTCTTGTTTCGGTTGACAGTTGGCAGTAGTAAATAGGGTGATTACAGTAAATCTATGGGGCCTCTAGAGTATCCAAGATCCAAATGCTGTATGTTCCAAATATATGATAATATAATTTAATATACGTCAATGTTTCTCTTGTTCCCTTTTCTTTGACCTTTGGACATTTTGATATCTCATTGTGCTATCGTGAAAGGTAGCCTCAGCTACCTGAGTTCTCCTTTCCTTAGAGTTGGCAATTGATTGACTAGAAAAACCATAGAAAACCAGTTTTCCCAATTACCTGTATTGGTGGGACCCCCACCCCCGTCCCCGCAGGTTCAAATCCCATCGGATCCTTCCGCTTGTTCTACAGTATCTTTTGCTGTGATAATGAACATGCTCAGCATTGGATTCATCATAGGAGGCGGCCTTTCCTCATTCCTCCTGCATGTACTTACGAAGCCAACTTCTTTGACATGCTGGGCGGATTGCAGCCCACTTTAGTCATTACAGTCGACATTCTACCCGCCACTTGTGCCCCACAGGCCGCACGCCAACGTCACCACATCATTTCCTTTGCACTATTCATTACCTCCTTCCAAGCCAGTGCATCACATCCACCCCACCTTTTGTTACAGATGTTAAGAAGGCCTTTCGTCAGGATGTTCGGATGTTCCTCAAGATTGTGGAAAGAAATTCCGTGCTGCGTCGCTTCAGTGTTCCGATGCCGTTTTGACATCAAATTCCATTGTGTGGCTTCCTTTCGTCCACCCGCTTTTGCCCTCAAGTGTTCACTTGTGTTATACACTTTGTTACTTTTGTCTTAGACGACCCCTTTCAAAGACCACCCCGGCCAATGTTTAATCCGCTTATTTTTCGCCCGTAAAACAACCGATGTGTAAGGGTTCAGGTCTTGACTACTTAGTTGCCAGTGGCCGGTGACTACTTTCAAGCAAACGATCACTTTATACATCTTTTTACTTTTACCGCACACATTTTTGTGATACGTATATATCAAAAAACATCTCATTCGTATCAAGAAAAGGTTCTGGTGCCTTGGTCCCTTGCTCCCTGGTCCTTTGGTCATTTGGTCCGCTCATCCTTGGTTCCTCAGGCCGTGGTCCTTTCGGTCCCCTCGTCCCTTGGCCCCCTGTCATGTTGGTCCGCTGGTCCTTTTGGTCCCGCTACCTTGCTTGGCCCCCTGGTCGCTTGGTCGCCTCGTTTCCTCCCTTGGTCCCTGGCCCAGGCAACTTGAAGGCGCCATTCCAACTTGGAGCATACCTTAGCATATTATTGTGTAGAAAGAGCGGCCACAATGTATCACACCTCTTGTGGGCCACCTGATTGTACAATCTAGGGCAAGAAGGAGCAACTCCAACTTGGAGCATAACATGTGTGGGCCACCATGCAGGAGAAGGAATTCCGAATCCAATTGATATATATATATATACGACATACCCTTGGTCATTCTGGGCCGCAGGAAAGGTAAAACTTCGAGCGCGAAGGAGCAAGTCCATCTTGGAGCAAGCCTATTGTTGGCCACCCGAGGGTAAATTGACAGCAGAAAGGGGCCATTCCAACCTGAAGCATGCGTTTTGTGGTTCACAAGGGCAAAATCGAGGGCATCAAGGAGCAACCCCAACTTGGAGCATACCTTATTCAGAGCAGGAAAGAGCAGATTATTAGTAGCCCTTGGTGAACCTTGAAGTGCACATTTTGTGGCAAGCGCAGCAAATCGTGGACCTGTAGATTTCGTCTCAGGTGGGGTGCTTTGCGAACTTCGTGATGCAAATGTCATGGTAGACGCAGCACTTTGCGCAGATTTCGTGGCAGGCAGGGAGCTTTGTGAAGCTTGTGGTGCAGATCACGAAAAAGCTAGCACCTAGCGCGCTAGTTTTTTTGGGGGCAAGCTTGTAAGGCTTGATTTTTCATGCATATTGCGCTAAGGAGGCCCCCGCCCCTCCGCGGGCTCAACTCCCTGAAATTGCCTGACTTCAGACGCAGGCGTCATCTCTGACCCAACGTCACCCCATGGGCCCATGAAAGAGTAATCCCGAGTACCTATTTAAAAAGCCTCCCCAATTAAAAAACTACCACGTCCGAAGCCCTAAGTTCGGTTTATATGTGTTTTCAAATTGCCGCCCTTTCAAACCGCTACTGCACTACCAACATGGTCGATTTTGGGGGTAGTTTCTTTTATTAGGTTCCAAAAACAACCGTAACTGCCCACATCTGTCCGCCCTGTGTATCCACCATGACACGCCGCGTTTACACCAGCAGGCTTTCCTTCCTCCAATGGCGCGGACTCACGCAAACGCACTTTCCACCGAGGTCGCGCAAAACCGCATGGCACAGCGACATCACCTTTCGAAAGCTGTGGTTGTTAGTCTAATGAAGAATCAGTATTCTAACAAATGTTTTTTGTAGGGGAAAAGGAAGACCCTTCTATGTGGAGGTTTTTTGAACTTTTGATACGAGTTTAATAAAGGACTCTATATATACTGTATAATTGTTTTCTGGATGACTTTTTGGTTTTGAAGCTCTTCCCAGGTGACCCTATTTTGGACCCCCCGATTTCAGGTACCCCCTACTTACAAAAATGCGACCGAGTTTCTCTTAATAGGGGGGGCTGCGTGTTGTTTAATAGGTGGACAGGATTATTGAGGCGAAGGCGTCCGTCAGGTCAGAGGTCCTTGCCGCGTCAAGACACCAATGTAAACACGAAAGCCTCAGTGCGGATCTGAAGCTGCGGGTGCTGCTGTTGTTTTTGCTGCCGGTTTGCTGCTGGTGTGTGCCGGCGAACCATAGCTGCCATATAGTTTTGCTTTTCTTCTGGATCGCTTTGGCAATGCCTTGTAGACTTTGGCCGCGCAATATTCTGCGCTGGTGCGCTGCTGCCACTGATTGCTGCTGGCCTGCTGCGGGTACGCTGCTGGGAAGCTGATTGCCTGCTGCAGATTTCGTGGCATGCGCAACATGTTGGGGACCTCGAAGTGTAGATTTCGTGGCAAGCACGGCGTTCTGTTAACCTCCCAGTGTATAGATGTTCACTTCTGGGAGTGAGGGGGTTAGATCAGCTAGGGGCCAGATCGGTGATGATTTGCTAATTTTCAGGAATTCTCAAAAGTATAGTATAAGTAAAAATCTTTTTAATATCAATATGGATGCTATTCCTTCATACAAAAACAGTATCGCTTAATAAGCAATACTAATAAAAATCAATCGAGACACACCAAAGAATCAACCTGAGTCAAAGAAGGTTGAAATTACAGTGAGGTAGATCTTTTTGCGAGATCAAAAAAGTGGTAACCGGCCTTTTTTGATACTAGTCTTTTGTACACCGATGACCTTAAGCGGGGACTTTCTTATCCCTTGTAGGAGTGATTGAAACTATTTGTATTGCATACGGTGATAAGAACATTGCTTGTCGGTTTAAACGAGAGAACACATATTGTCAACAAAATAGCAATTTAAGGTAACTTCGTACTCCTTGAGTTCAAACTAGTTCAACTTGTCACTTGACATGGGACATTTGATATTGTTGTTCTGGACAGCTCAAGTCTCAGCGTTTGAGTTCATGTGTCACTTGACCCCTTGCATGCATCACTTGACCCTTTACATGTGTCACCTGACCCTTTACATGTGTCACTTGACCCTTTACACGTGTCACTTGACGTCACTTGACCATTTGAACCATTGTCATATGACTCCTGACTGATGTCTTTCTTCGAGGTCTTCTGTCTTCAAGATGTGTTGCACTGAGATCAGTGGAAACAAATGAAATAGTAAACCAAGACTTTAGCAGTTCAGGGCATAACGATTAATGATGCCAGTCAACTCACTGTTAGAATCAGTGGTCTTGAGCCAAGTCGATTGTTTGTTCCAGTTGTCACTTGACACCAGCTGAATTGAGGTCTGACAATTGGTCTTCTGGCGCTCTACATTCGTGGAGGTGCTCACTCATACTTTCATTTCATTCATGGGCCTCATTTGTCAATCAATCATTTATTGAACACTTGGTAGTATAGTCACTTTGAACTGGTTTGCTCATTGATGACTTGCTGACTGTTTGCTGATTTACCACACTGATGGTTCATTTGATGTTGGCCCAAACCAGTCACATGACACATGACTCATGAATGACATGCCACTGATTCCACTGATTCACAGAATCTTCGCAACACTTCAATTCAAATATGTTCACACTTTCTGTGCATTTTTCTTGAAGATGGAGAGCGGCTTCTCACGCTACATGGACATGGAGGATCTGAGGAGGCTGCCGCCAGAGGGCTCCATCCCTGATACGTACACATGCTTTGAGGCAAGTGGTGTTGGTGTGGTGTTGATTGACAGATTCATTCATGAAAGACTTTATTGGAATGAATTTCTGATTTGGCTGGCCAGGAGGAAGAACGGATCACATTTCCACATTTCACTGAGCACCTTGATATAAATTATGCATCTCTGCTTGTCACTTGCCATGTGTAACAAGGAATGAACTAGAGCACAGGTGAGGTCAGCCAGACTAGGTAGACTTGATAGATGAGTTACTATGCCTAAGGATGGATGGTGGGAGGAAGATCTACATTCCTGAGATCAACAACCATCCAAACTTCAAGTGTCTTGTCTATTGTCACTAGTGTCTTGATCTCTGAA